ATGACGCTCTGGTAAATTTTTTGTTCCAGCTTCGATGAAACTAACGGAATATTTCTCCTCGAGTTGATTTTTTCTCCAGGCAAATATCGACCTTGCAACTATTATTTTTTGAAGGATCTGTTTTATGTCAATCAAAAATTTTTGTTCTCTTGACCTGAATGAAAAAACTGTGTTCACCTTGATTGTATTTTCTTAAATAATGGGGGTTCAAAGATTTGCCAATTTGGGATAATTATTGAGCAATGTTTTTTGTGCTAAATGAGGCATGAGCAGGTTATTAATCCGAATTGGTTTTGAGGCATAATATTTGTTCAATTTAATGCTTTGCTGTATGCGAAAAATAACAATTGCAATTTATCTAGTTTGTGTGGGGGATGGTTTTCAAAAAAATTTGTGATTCATGTTTTTTTGAAAGGTTCATTTAGAATTTAGGTTATTTTTTTTCCACAGACCTGAAAATGCAGTCATTCAATTCAGGACTTAACCTTGTTACAAGTAGTCTTGTTCAATGATATCTTCGTAAGATAAACCGGCGATACAGTTTAGAAAGTTTTTTTCAAACAAATTAGTTTCTAATTTAAGTTTCCAAGCTTCTGGGGCTACCTTTAATAACCTATAATTTTAGTATTCAAGAGGTTTTGTCCATTTGGTTTTATCATTTGGCGGATTTGCTTATACCAACCAAGATATACTTCAAAAAGCCTTCGGAATCTTCAAAAAAATCTTTAAATTGTTTGAACCGTTGAAAACTTCTATTTTTCATTATAAACATTCCATTTTGAATTGAGGCAAACTAGATGATTCGTTCAGTCAAATTATTTTCGTATTGTATTCAAACTTTAGCACCTACGATTTGTTAATGGTCATTTTAAAGTTCGAAGTCTGACAAATTTATCGTTGCCCAAAAATATTCAGAACCAGTTAAGATTTAAATTAAACATCCAAAGCTTTGGTGCCCTCGTAAACAGGCAGTCTTGTTGTTCCAACTTTTAAAGAACGTGACGGATTTTTTTTTGCCCTGGGCGGTTTTTTCTTTATACAAAAACACCGCTTATAACAAATTTTCTTCAATCATCCGAAAGGTAGTAATGATTGAGCTCAAATATTAAACAATATTTCACCAGTGCTCATTTTTTCAAACATGGCGACTTTTAAAAACTACCAAATTGCCTACATCGAGTTAATAACACACGCGATTTATTTCGTGCTATTTTCGCGTACGCGGCTATGAAATTGTTTCTAATTTAATCGAAACCTGCTTTCTGGTCGAATTTAAACTTTGCTATATATAATCAATTCAAATCAATTTGTAACTGGTACTTAAAGTTTCCCTTCACCCTGTTTTTTTAAATATAATAATAGCGTTCAGGTGATTTTAAAAAAAAAAACAAGTCTCAAACAAAAATCAATAAATATTTATCTTAAATTAAAGTTCACCAATTTGACACAAAAAAAACTATTTTTCGTCTATTGTTCTCTTTTAGTCCCTCATCTCTATGCTTGACAAAAATTTTCAGATAATTTAAAAAACTTGTATCTGAAACGTCGCGTCAGTGAAATATTTTTATAATATCAAGTCGCAAGTATACAACTACTTCAGGAAAAAGCCATGGATACTTCAAGTTAGGTATTTGTTGGTGAAAAATTTCTAAAAAGGGCCTGAAAACGCCTTTTCGGCTTTTTTTTGCGGCGCAAAAAATGGTTTAAAAAATAGAATTCTCATAGTTTTAACTAGATTTCTGCGCACGCCACTGGGTGGGGTGGTTAAACTTTAGAGTTGTTTAGTAATTCTTTTAGAAGTTCTCAAAAGAGTGGAGTATTTGATTAAGTCATCTAGAGAAGAGCTGCCTTTGTTCACAAATTTGGAGCTGACTGAAGCTCTTCAAAAATTGAGAAGCTCGAATGTTATCGATGGTTAATTGAAATCGATTTCCCTAATAAATTTCAAAAAATTGAAAAAAACTGTGCTAGGGATGCGTTTTTTATTGAGACCAATTTAGCAACGAACGTTTTGACGCATGCGGGTATGCTTGCACTAGTGCAATTTCACTTGGAAATATCTCGTTCATTTTCCAATACGTTAAAACGCAATTTATTTATGCGTCGCAAGTTAGCTCGCACTCATAAACATTCCATTTTGATTCATTCAGTCTAATAATTTCCGAATTGTATTCAAATTTTAGCACCTACGATTTGATGATGGCAATTTTAAACTTCGAAGTCTAAGAATCTTATATTTGCGAAAAAAATTGTTCAGAACCAGCTAATGGCTAATTGAACATCCAAGTGTTTTGTGCCGTCATAAACGAGCAGTCTTATTGTTCCGACTTTTGAAGAATGTGACGGAAAATTTTTGCTCTGGGCGTTTTTTTTCAGATAAAATTACCCGTAAATAAAACTTTCTTCGATCATCCGAAAGGTAGTAATGTCATGAGCCCAAACACTAAACAAAACTTCACCTCTGCTCATTTTTATAAAACTGGGATTTGTAAGAACTACCAAATTGCCCACATTGAGTTAATGACACACGCGAGATATTTCGCGCTATTATCGCGTACGCGGATATGAAATCGTTCCAAATTTAATCGAGGCCTGGACGATTTTAAAATTTGCTATATATGATCAATTAAAATCAATTTGTAATTGTTACTTAAAGTTTCCTTTCACCCTGTTACTTTAGATATATCAATAGCGTGAAGGTGATTTTTTAAATTGAGTCTCAAACAAATTGAAATTTTTTTTAAACACAAAATTCCATCTATTTCTCGTCTATTGTTCTTTTTCAGTTCCTCATCTCTATGCTTGACAAGAAGTTTCATACAATTTCAAGAATGTGTATCTGAAACGTTGTGTCAGTGAATTTGTTTCCTAATTTCAAGTCGCAAGTGTGCAACTACTTTGGAAAAAAGCCATGGATACTGCAAGTTAGGTATTCAAAGATAACCGATTTGGTCAAATGAAGATATTTAATGAGCGACAAAATTCGTGTGGCTAACGCAGAGGCGGCGATTTAATCCGGCTTACAAATCGTTCCAATTTGAACTGAGGCATGCAATTTGATCTAATTTTGAAAAAAACTAACGGAATATTTCTGCTCGAGTTGATTTTTTCTCCAGGCGAAATTCGACCTTGCAACTATTATTTTTTGAAGGAACTGTTTTAAGTAATTCAAAAATTTTGTTTTCTTGACCTGAATTTAAAAAACTGTGTTCACCTTGATTGTATTTTCTTAAGCAATGGGGGTTTAAAGATTTGCCAATTTGGGATAATTATTGAGCAATGTTTTTGTGCTAAATGAGGCATGAGCAGGTTATTAATCCGAATTGGATTTGAGGCATAATATATGTTCAATTTAATGCTTTGCTGTATGCGAAATATATAAATTGCAATTTATCTAGTTTGTGTGGGGGATGGTTTTCAAAAAAATTTTGTGATTCATGTTTTTTTTGAAATGTTCACTTAGATTTTAGGTTAATTTTTTTCCACGGACCTGAAAATGCAGTCATTCAATTCAGGGCTTAGCCTTGTTACAAGTAGTCTTGTTCAATTACATCTTCGTAAGATAAACCGGCGATACAGTTTAGAAAGTTTTTCAAACAAATTAACTTCTAATTTAAGTTTTCAAGCTTCTGGGGCTTCCTTTAATAACCTCTGATTTTAGTATTCAATAGGTTTTGTCCATAAAACAGAACAGTTGCAAAACTTCATTTGGTTTTATCATTCGGCGGATTTGCTTAAACCAAGCAAGATATACTTCAAAAAGCCTTCGGAATCTTCAAAAAAATCCTTAAATTGTTTGAACAGTTGAAAACTTGTATTTTTCCTCATTTTTGTTAATCTTTCCCTCTGTTGTTACCATATTACCTTTTGAATTTGCTACATTACTATCCCGAATTAACCTACTTGTTATTCAATCAAAATTAACTTTTGGTTTTTGATTCATAAACATAGTTTCTGCATTTATGTCGTTTTCGGAAAATTTCGACGCGATTCTATCTTTTGCTCTGCACTCTGTATTCCTGCTCAAACTAATATGATTTCCATCGTCGATTTTTCAAAAAAAACTTCTGCTCTATTAATGCCCCTCTCCTTCTTTGACAACAACAGGTTTCATGCAAAAACCAATAATTTTACGATATTGTAGATTGTAGATTATGTGTATTTTATCAGTATAGCACCATCCATGCCAAATTTTGAAACAATTTTTAGAAATTACAGTTGGGATGAAAGATTCCAAAATTCACCCCAAAATGTCCGAACGTCAAAAATGGTGCCAACTTAATATATGCCTAAGGGTAACAATAGGCGAATTAAAAGAACATGGGTCAATTGTCCGTGTCTTCATTTCAACGGGCAATTGAAATTGAGTTTCTTTAGTCGATTCAAAATAACTTGACTAAGTCTGTGGTTTTAATTTGTGACATGGTATCTATTAAGTTAAATTACGGATAAGTAAATGTCAGTTGCTCAGTTTTGATTTATTATTTGAACGATTAAGCCCAAGATTTTGTATTATCAAAAAGTTATGATTAAATATCTACTTTTTAATACGTTTTAACAATTTGCGGAATCCGCTTACATTTGCTTACAATTCGCTCGTTGCAGAATCCGCGACAAGTTAATGTGTCGACAAAATCCACGTTACACGTACTTGATCTCGGAATTTTGACGGAGAAATCCATTTAAATTTTGGAACAAGACTTGTCTCAGGGTTCCATTGGCCTACAAACACCGATTTTCGTACCTATCCAGTGCATTGTTTGGCCTCGCTAATAAAACAATTTCATTTTTGGGCAATTTTTTTAAAAACTTATAGCTGTATAAAATTTGGGTGTTATCATCTATAATGCTTTATTGGATCAAGTGAAATCCTTTTTTTTTTTACAAAATGTGGGGTAGAATTAAAAGCAATTTTGGTTTTCTACGCATTTTTATTTAGAGAGAAAAATAATTTTTTGAAACCATTCAACGAATTGGTATCATAGAATTCTGTCTTTCAGGTCCAGAGTATATCAACTCACTGCAATGGTTCCCGAAAACACTTCCACGTGGTCTGAGCAAATTCAAGAGTTCAGCTCACTTTGTTTTATCATTCGAAGCTGTTACTTTTCTAGTCAATGACCCAACCCAAGTTGTGTCGGAACTTTTCGAAGCTTTCAGCCCACACAATTTTCCCGAAGAAGCTATAATTGCAATTCTCCAGTACAACTGGCAAGTTGGTTTTCCAGGTGGAAGGAAACGAGAAACGAACGCCAAAACTATTCTAGGTTATTTCCAGAGTAATTTGAATAGTGATAGCCGATCGATAATTATGAAATCATTTTTCACTGATTTTAAATCGAATTTTTCATGTAGAACTTTTCACGTCTTTAATCGTTGCATGCAATAGTACAAACATAGTACAAATTTTAAAAAGCTGAATACCATTCAATCAAAATTAGTTAATGGTTTTTGATACATGAAGATGTCCTAATAACTTCTGCAAGTATGTCGTTTTCGGAATGTTTTCGACTCGGTTTCATCTCTTGTCCGCAGTCGGTACTTCTGCTCAACCAATGATGTTGTAAATGAAGACTAAAAATATTTTGATTTCGGTTGGCACAAAAAATTATTTTTTGATATCCAATTTTGGCTGATCAACCCTAAAAGTTTCTAAGAGCGACTTTGGCGCCAATATATACTAATTTTGAAGGGGAGCGCGCGCCAAAAAATGCAACTTTTTTGGATAGATTTTTTCTAAAAGGTGCCTAAAAACGCTTTTTTAGCTTGTTTTTTCAAAAATTTTACAAGCGCATGACAATTCATACTCTCCGATAACATAAGTGCAAAAAGGATGTTTTTTTTTGGTTTTTTTGAGTTCATTTTGAACTAATTGATGGTTATGTTTCAGGTATGGAGAACAAATTCAACAGGTTCAAAATATGGGTGGAAGATTATGGTCGAAGACCAAATTTGTGTCCCAGTGGAAAAATTCGACACAATATCTGCATATTTGGAGTACGATCACTACCATTTTTCTCAGACAAACCAGCTGGGAGATACCTGTTTATAAATAAATTTCTATGGGATTTTGAACCAATGGCGTGGGACTGCGCTTTGTCTTTTTATTACAGAAAAGTGAAACAAGAGCAACGATCAAAACGAACTGCGCTCAAAAATTATCCCTTCTTAGAAAACAATTCTCAGCTGAAATTTTTCGGTGTTAATAACAATGCCTGAATGATAATCAGTATCAGTAACAAAATTTGTAAAAAAACTGCTTTTTTAACTACAATAAAAAGTCTAAGATAGTCAATGTTCAAGCTGAGCTTCAACAGGTTTTATTTTTCAAAGCTATTCGACTGCGAGTAGACTAAAAGTAAAACCAATCGGTGAAAGGAAGCACATTGTTTTGCTCAAACTCATTCTTAAACAGACATAATTTTCCCTTCATTCAGACTGTTGGGTTTTCCCTCTCATCTATTAGTCGCTCGAAATTTATTAATTGCTTGAATCTATCCACTGATTGAGAGAAACAGTCCATTTTTTCTATTCATTTTTTGATTTTTTTTTGTTTTTAAAACTTGTTATTCTGGATAAAGTTATTCCAATTAAATATCTCCGCAAAAAACTAATTGTAAAAAATCGTAAAAATCGTTCCAAGTATACTATCATCTTACCTAAGACTTTAAACAAATTTATTCATTTTAGATATTGTTTTTTCCACTTTTTTATACATTTGATGTTTTTTTTCGAACTGTTAATTAAGTTGTTTGAAACTCCCTCAAAAACATAGGCAACTGGGAGTTGGAAAAGGATAATAAACGCAAGGAAACCGGAAAAAACGAGAGTAGTATATGTTGGAGCAGTTCAGCAGGGGGGGGGTGCTAACCGCCATGTATTAACATAGGCTATAGAACATCCGGTCAGCACCCTATGTATTAACATAGGCTATAGATTTCCCAAAGTATTAAGATAGGGAATAGGTTTCCCAATGTGTTAGGATAGCAGGTTTCAGATGCTAAGTTTCAGATGGTAAGTTTTTTCGGCGCCCGAATTTCCCATGTATAGTGTATAGATTTCCCTATGTATTAAAACATGGTAGGGAATTAAGAACTCATTAAGATAGGGAATAGATTATATTTGCGAAAAAAATTGTTCAGAACCAGCTAAGGGCTAATTGAACATCCAAGTGTTTTGTGCCGTCATAAACGAGCAGTCTTATTGTTCCGACTTTTGAAGAATGTGACGGAAAATTTTTGCTCTGGGCGTTTTTTTTCAGATAAAATTACCCGTAAATAAAACTTTCTTCGATCATCCGAAAGGTAGTAATGTCATGAGCCCAAACACTAAACAAAACTTCACCTCTGCTCATTTTTATAAAACTGGGATTTGTAAGAACTACCAAATTGCCCACATTGAGTTAATGACACACGCGAGATATTTCGCGCTATTATCGCGTACGCGGATATGAAATCGTTCCAAATTTAATCGAGGCCTGGTCGATTTTAAAATTTGCTATATATGATCAATTAAAATCAATTTGTAATTGTTACTTAAAGTTTCCTTTCACCCTGTTACTTTAGATATATCAATAGCGTGAAGGTGATTTTTTAAATTGAGTCTCAAACAAATTGAAATTTTTTTTTAAACACAAAATTCCATCTATTTCTCGTCTATTGTTCTTTTTCAGTTCCTCATCTCTATGCTTGACAAGAAGTTTCATACAATTTCAAGAATGTGTATCTGAAACGTTGTGTCAGTGAATTTTTTTCCTAATTTCAAGTCGCAAGTGTGCAACTACTTTGGAAAAAAGCCATGGATACTGCAAGTTAGGTATTCAAAGATAACCGATTTGGTCAAATGAAGATATTTAATGAGCGACAAAATTCGTGTGGCTAACGCAGAGGCGGCGATTTAATCCGGCTTACAAATCGTTCCAATTTGAACTGAGGCATGCAATTTGATCTAATTTTGAAAAAAACTAACGGAATATTTCTGCTCGAGTTGATTTTTTCTCCAGGCGAAATTCGACCTTGCAACTATTATTTTTTGAAGGAACTGTTTTAAGTAATTCAAAAATTTTGTTTTCTTGACCTGAATTTAAAAAACTGTGTTCACCTTGATTGTATTTTCTTAAGCAATGGGGGTTTAAAGATTTGCCAATTTGGGATAATTATTGAGCAATGTTTTTGTGCTAAATGAGGCATGAGCAGGTTATTAATCCGAATTGGATTTGAGGCATAATATATGTTCAATTTAATGCTTTGCTGTATGCGAAATATATAAATTGCAATTTATCTAGTTTGTGTGGGGGATGGTTTTCAAAAAAATTTTGTGATTCATGTTTTTTTTGAAATGTTCACTTAGATTTTAGGTTAATTTTTTTCCACGGACCTGAAAATGCAGTCATTCAATTCAGGGCTTAGCCTTGTTACAAGTAGTCTTGTTCAATTACATCTTCGTAAGATAAACCGGCGATACAGTTTAGAAAGTTTTTCAAACAAATTAACTTCTAATTTAAGTTTTCAAGCTTCTGGGGCTTCCTTTAATAACCTCTGATTTTAGTATTCAATAGGTTTTGTCCATAAAACAGAACAGTTGCAAAACTTCATTTGGTTTTATCATTCGGCGGATTTGCTTAAACCAAGCAAGATATACTTCAAAAAGCCTTCGGAATCTTCAAAAAAATCCTTAAATTGTTTGAACAGTTGAAAACTTGTATTTTTCCTCATTTTTGTTAATCTTTCCCTCTGTTGTTACCATATTACCTTTTGAATTTGCTACATTACTATCCCGAATTAACCTACTTGTTATTCAATCAAAATTAACTTTTGGTTTTTGATTCATAAACATAGTTTCTGCATTTATGTCGTTTTCGGAAAATTTCGGCGCGATTCTATCTTTTGCTCTGCACTCTGTATTCCTGCTCAAACTAATATGATTTCCATCGTCGATTTTTCAAAAAAAACTTCTGCTCTATTAATGCCCCTCTCCTTCTTTGACAACAACAGGTTTCATGCAAAAACCAATGATTTTACGATATTGTAGATTGTAGATTATGTGTATTTTATCAGTATAGCACCATCCATGCCAAATTTTGAAACAATTTTTAGAAATTACAGTTGGGATGAAAGATTCCAAAATTCACCCCAAAATGTCCGAACGTCAAAAATGGTGCCAACTTAATATATGCCTAAGGGTAACAATAGGCGAATTAAAAGAACATGGGTCAATTGTCCGTGTCTTCATTTCAACGGGCAATTGAAATTGAGTTTCTTTAGTCGATTCAAAATAACTTGACTAAGTCTGTGGTTTTAATTTGTGACATGGTATCTATTAAGTTAAATTACGGATAAGTAAATATCAGTTGCTCAGTTTTGATTTATTATTTGAACGATTAAGCCCAAGATTTTGTATTATCAAAAAGTTATGATTAAATATCTACTTTTTAATACGTTTTAACAATTTGCGGAATCCGCTTACATTTGCTTACAATTCGCTCGTTGCAGAATCCGCGACAAGTTAATGTGTCGACAAAATCCACGTTACACGTACTTGATCTCGGAATTTTGACGGAGAAATCCATTTAAATTTTGGAACAAGACTTGTCTCAGGGTTCCATTGGCCTACAAACACCGATTTTCGTACCTATCCAGTGCATTGTTTGGCCTCGCTAATAAAACAATTTCATTTTTGGGCAATTTTTTTAAAAACTTATAGCTGTATAAAATTTGGGTGTTATCATCTATAATGCTTTATTGGATCAAGTGAAATCCTTTTTTTTTTTTACAAAATGTGGGGTAGAATTAAAAGCAATTTTGGTTTTCTACGCATTTTTATTTAGAGAGAAAAATAATTTTTTGAAACCATTCAACGAATTGGTATCATAGAATTCTGTCTTTCAGGTCCAGAGTATATCAACTCACTGCAATGGTTCCCGAAAACACTTCCACGTGGTCTGAGCAAATTCAAGAGTTCAGCTCACTTTGTTTTATCATTCGAAGCTGTTACTTTTCTAGTCAATGACCCAACCCAAGTTGTGTCGGAACTTTTCGAAGCTTTCAGCCCACACAATTTTCCCGAAGAAGCTATAATTGCAATTCTCCAGTACAACTGGCAAGTTGGTTTTCCAGGTGGAAGGAAACGAGAAACGAACGCCAAAACTATTCTAGGTTATTTCCAGAGTAATTTGAATAGTGATAGCCGATCGATAATTATGAAATCATTTTTCACTGATTTTAAATCGAATTTTTCATGTAGAACTTTTCACGTCTTTAATCGTTGCATGCAATAGTACAAACATAGTACAAATTTTAAAAAGCTGAATACCATTCAATCAAAATTAGTTAATGGTTTTTGATACATGAAGATGTCCTAATAACTTCTGCAAGTATGTCGTTTTCGGAATGTTTTCGACTCGGTTTCATCTCTTGTCCGCAGTCGGTACTTCTGCTCAACCAATGATGTTGTAAATGAAGACTAAAAATATTTTGATTTCGGTTGGCACAAAAAATTATTTTTTGATATCCAATTTTGGCTGATCAACCCTAAAAGTTTCTAAGAGCGACTTTGGCGCCAATATATACTAATTTTGAAGGGGAGCGCGCGCCAAAAAATGCAACTTTTTTGGATAGATTTTTTCTAAAAGGTGCCTAAAAACGCTTTTTTAGCTTGTTTTTTCAAAAATTTTACAAGCGCATGACAATTCATACTCTCCGATAACATAAGTGCAAAAAGGATGTTTTTTTTTGGTTTTTTTGAGTTCATTTTGAACTAATTGATGGTTATGTTTCAGGTATGGAGAACAAATTCAACAGGTTCAAAATATGGGTGGAAGATTATGGTCGAAGACCAAATTTGTGTCCCAGTGGAAAAATTCGACACAATATCTGCATATTTGGAGTACGATCACTACCATTTTTCTCAGACAAACCAGCTGGGAGATACCTGTTTATAAATAAATTTCTATGGGATTTTGAACCAATGGCGTGGGACTGCGCTTTGTCTTTTTATTACAGAAAAGTGAAACAAGAGCAACGATCAAAACGAACTGCGCTCAAAAATTATCCCTTCTTAGAAAACAATTCTCAGCTGAAATTTTTCGGTGTTAATAACAATGCCTGAATGATAATCAGTATCAGTAACAAAATTTGTAAAAAAACTGCTTTTTTAACTACAATAAAAAGTCTAAGATAGTCAATGTTCAAGCTGAGCTTCAACAGGTTTTATTTTTCAAAGCTATTCGACTGCGAGTAGACTAAAAGTAAAACCAATCGGTGAAAGGAAGCACATTGTTTTGCTCAAACTCATTCTTAAACAGACATAATTTTCCCTTCATTCAGACTGTTGGGTTTTCCCTCTCATCTATTAGTCGCTCGAAATTTATTAATTGCTTGAATCTATCCACTGATTGAGAGAAACAGTCCATTTTTTCTATTCATTTTTTGATTTTTTTTTGTTTTTAAAATTTGTTATTCTGGATAAAGTTATTCCAATTAAATATCTCCGCAAAAAACTAATTGTAAAAAATCGTAAAAATCGTTCCAAGTATACTATCATCTTACCTAAGACTTTAAACAAATTTATTCATTTTAGATATTGTTTTTTCCACTTTTTTATACATTTGATGTTTTTTTTCGAACTGTTAATTAAGTTGTTTGAAACTCCCTCAAAAACATAGGCAACTGGGAGTTGGAAAAGGATAATAAACGCAAGGAAACCGGAAAAAACGAGAGTAGTATATGTTGGAGCAGTTCAGCAGGGGGGGGGGGGGGGTGCTAACCGCCATGTATTAACATAGGCTATAGAACATCCGGTCAGCACCCTATGTATTAACATAGGCTATAGATTTCCCAAAGTATTAAGATAGGGAATAGGTTTCCCAATGTGTTAGGATAGCAGGTTTCAGATGCTAAGTTTCAGATGGTAAGTTTTTTCGGCGCCCGAATTTCCCATGTATAGTGTATAGATTTCCCTATGTATTAAAACATGGTAGGGAATTAAGAACTCATTAAGATAGGGAATAGATTTCCTATGTAATAAGATTGGGAAAAACTTCCTAATTAAGATGGTAGGGTTCCAGATGGTAAGTTTCAGAAAAAAATTTTGGCGCCCGATCTAACCATGTTTTAAGCTAGTATTTAGGTTTCCCATGTATTAGGATATGGTATGGATATAGCTATGTATAAGGGTTCAAAAAATTCACTGAAATAACATAGGGAATAGGCTTCCCAAGGTATTAAGATGAAAAAAGGAAAAGTTTCAGTGTGATGGTAAAAGAAGGGTAAGAAAAACGGTATTTTTTTTGGATTTTGTGTGGAAATGTCGAGTTTTTTTTTGCAAAGTTCTCGGCATGCGTTATGTAACTTTTGAGTGTTACGTGTAGATTGTGTAATGAACGTATTATGTTTATTAGTTCATGGAAAGTCAATAACAAGATGTGCAAAAATTTGGAAGTTTTAATTTAAAAAAATGATATTTTTTCAAAAAACTTCAAAACACGATAAGATTTGATATAATTTGACTTTATAACTATTTTATTACATGATCCTTTTTTTTGGAACTGTACTCAACCTAGCTTAAACTATGCTAAAACCTATTGATACCTTGAAAAAAAGTCCAATTTTTGGAAGAATTTGCAAAAATTTTAGTTTTTGGAAAAAATTGCAAAAAATTCAAAGTTTGTGGAAAAAAGTGCAAAAATTTCAAAGTTTTTGGAAAAAATTGCAAAGTTTCAATTGTTGCAATTGTTGCAATCATGTTGAGGCAGTGAGACAAAATTTTGAACAAAAATATAGAGTTTTCCACAATTTCCTCTCAAAATATTGAAATACGATAAAGTTTATCCTAATTTGAGCTAAGAAAAATTGCTTTAGATAATGCTCTGAACATATAAAGCTCATATTAGCTGAATCAATATTGTAACTTCTGATTTTTCGGGAAAATAGTGTAATTAATTGTAATTTTCGAGAAAATAACAATTTGTCAAATTTCTCCAAACTTTTCCATTTTTAACCTTTCTTCTGTGTAATTAACTGGTTTTTTGTTCAGTTCAAGGAGAGTTCAAGAAAAAATCTCAGTTCAATTGATTAATAGGAGCAATTTTCATTTGAATTTCTATATCAAACTCCATGATCCAACTCTTCCTCAGTTTTTTCTAAAAGATTAACCCAAACTTGTACAAAAAATACATATTCTGAGAAACTTTTCAGGTTCGTAAAAATAACAAGTTTCGGATCATTGTTGAAAAATGAGCATTTTACTGCTAAAATTGACTAAAATGGGCTAAATTTTTCTTAATAATTATATTAGATTGGATGAAATTCAACAAAGTTTTCAAAACTAATGATTATCTCTCTGTTGCTTCTATAACATAATTTTCTTGATTTTTCCGCAGAAATTTTTTTGTTCTAAGGTTATTCTTGCTTTCTGCTTTTTTATATGTGTTCGCTATTGAACTCGCTTTTCAAGAAAATTTAGTCAGAACAGGGCAATTTAGGAGGAAAATGGTATCAATTGAACGAACAATTTGCTGTTAGAAATAAAATTCGAACTGATAACGCCTGATGAATATTTTGTAATTTTTGCATGTTCTCCTTTAGGTTCCCTTGCTTAGTTATAAAAATAAACTATTTAAACAAAAGTACAACTTCTGGGATCATTATTGCAAAAAAGTTAAAAAATCCTTTTTTATTCTTGATTTGTGTCAGAAGTTTTCTCAAAGAAGTCTCAGTGAGAAATACTCGGTGCTAGTTAAAGCAATTAAGAGTACGTGTAAAAATTCAGAATATAAATTCGTTTTTTTTTTACGTTGAGTTTTCAGAGCAGTTTGATTGTTTTTAATCTAAAGACTCCCGGAAATACGCAAGTAGGTCTAGTTTCTAACTTCTGCAACATCTAAAAGTTTCAAAAAGAACGCTTTCTAGAGAAATCAATTAAGAAAAGGAAATCAGGGTGCAAACTGTACCAAGTAAATAATTTTGCCAAATTTATTAAGCAAAAAACTACAGTTATACGTAATTTTCTAATTAAAAAAAATGAAGCTAATCAGAATATAATCTTTACTAATTGGAACTTTTGATGTTAAATTTTATATAATTAGGAGATCCAACAGATGGTTCTGCCAAAGTATCAGGTTGCTTAGAAACTTTCAGCTAGCTCCATATTGTTTTCTCTGAATATCTTTCTACATCAATTTTTTTTGTTTTTCATCCAAAATAATGAAGTGCAGATCCTTCAAGCAAATTTTCGATTTATGCTTCATGAATCATCTTCCAAAAGAAGTCGGAAGTGATTCACAAAACAAAATGCTCAAAAAATTTGAGTTTTTGTTTAAATTTACCTAATATATCAATTGAGAAAAATTTTTCTAAACAATACACTTTTATGTTGGATTTTTTCTCAAGATATAATTTAAAAGCTCAGAATATAGGTTAACTACTCTTTAACCTTTGTTTTGAGTAGTTAACTGCTTTTTGTTCAATTCAAGGAGAATTGAACAAAGAATCTCAATCCAATTGAACAATAAGAGCAATATTGAACTCAATCATTTAAATACTTCAAAAAGAACGCTTCTTAGAGAATCGAATTAGAAAAGGAAAAATCAAGTGCGAACTGTACTTACTAAGAAACTTTGCCAAATTTTCTTGGTTCTAAGTTTATTCTTGCTTTCTTTTTTTACATATTTTTGCTATTGAACTCACTTTGCAAAAAAATTTAGTCACAACTGGGCAATTTAGTAGTAAAATGGTATCAATTGAACGAACAATTTGCTGTTAGAAATAAAATTCGAACTGATAACGCCAGATGAATATTTTGTAATTTTTGCATGTTCTCCTTTAGGTTCCCTTGCTTAGTTATAAAAATAAACTATTTAAACAAAAATACAACTTCTGGGATCATTAACTATCTTTTTATTGCAAAAAAGTTTTTAAATCCTTTTTTATTCTTGAATTGTGTCAGAAGTTTTCTCAAAGAAGTCTCAGTGAGAGATATTCGGTGCTAGTTAAAGCATTTAAGAGTACGTGTAAAAATTGAGAATATAAAGTCGTTTTTTTTACGCTGAGTTTTCAGAGCAGTTTGATTGTTTTTAATCTGAATACCCCCGGAAATACGCAAGTAGGTCTAGTTCCTAACTTCTGCAACATCTAAAAGTTTCAAAAAGAACGCTTTCTAGAGAAATCAATTAAGAAAAGGAAATCAGGGTGCAAACTGTACCAAGTAAATAATTTTGCCAAATTTATTAAGCAAAAAACTACAGTTATACGTAATTTTCTAATTAAAAAAAATGAAGCTAATCAGAATATAATCTTTACTAATTGGAACTTTTGATGTTAAAGTTTATATAATTAGGAGATCCAACAGATGGTTCTGCCAAAGTATCAGGTTGCTTAGAAACTTTCAGCTAGCTCCATATTGTTTTCTCTGAATATTTTTCTATATCAATTTTTTTTTTTGTTTTTCATCCAAAATAATGAAGTGTAGATCCTTAAAGCAAATTTTCGATTTATGCTTCATGAATCATCTTCCAAAAGAAGTCGGAAGTGATTCACAAAACAAAATGCTCAAAAAATTTGAGTTTTTGTTTAAATTTACCTAATATATCAATTGAGAAAAATTTTTCTAAACAATACACTTTTATGTTGGATTTTTTCTCAAGATATAATTTAAAAGCTCAGAATATAGGTTAACTACTCTTTAACCTTTGTTTTGAGTAGTTAACTGCTTTTTGTTCAATTCAAGGAGAATTGAACAAAGAATCTCAATCCAATTGAACAATAAGAGCAATATTGAACTCAATCATTTAAATACTTCAAAAAGAACGCTTCTTAGAGAATCGAATTAGAAAAGGAAAAATCAAGTGCGAACTGTACTTACTAAGAAACTTGGCCAAATTTTCTTGGTTCTAAGTTTATTCTTGCTTTCTTTTTTTACATATTTTTGCTATTGAACTCACTT